GCCCACGTGGCACCAAGAGCCTGGCAGAGCGCCGAGGATGAGAAGCTCCTGTTCCAGAGGGACCACTGGGATAGTGGGACACAAAACCAACAAGCCGTCACCATCTGACACGCAGCCAACACAGGTCAGCAGCGACCAAGAGAGTTTCTCCTGTCCTTTGACAACCTGGATCCAGCTGTGGCCAAAGCCAAACCCCTGGAGCTTTTCCACGGCACGTGCCAGTAAATTCTTTTTTGTTTGTTTGTTTAAACCAGTTTAAGCTGGGCTTCTGCCATTTCTGAACAAAAATATCCCAACTCAATCTAGCGGTGCCAAAAAGCTAAGAGAATTCGCTAAAATGAAAGCATCGTTGATTTCTGCAAGAACTCAAAGCAGCCAGATGTCACCGCTTTGGATTTACTTGTTTTGTTTTCTGTTGCTGCGCTGAGATTTAAAGAGACAGAGAGGGGGACGGAAATGCTGGTTGTGGCCCACACACAGACCCGCTTGTGCAGGCTGAAACTCTAGGGACTCTCACCCCGGCTGCGCGTCTCTAAGTCCCCCTTCCCCGATCTGAACCCTAAACCTGTTCTGGAGTCTGCTGTCTCCTCACCACAGACAGCCCCTACCCAGACTGGCCCAGCTTTCCTGATCTCCGGTTCTACCCCCCAGTCTCCTCACTTACAGCAATAAACAGGAAAAGCAAAGCAGACTTCAATATGCAAAATCATCCTCACACAGAATCAGGCAGAAATAATTTTTTAAAAGGTGAAGGAAAGTATAAAGCATGAATAGTGGTTGTCTTGTGGTAGGATAGTAGCTAATCTCATTCTCTGTTGTACTGTCTGCATTTTATGGTATTTCTTCCGTAGTAGAAATGTATATTCTTTTTTTGGTTTTAATGACACAGGTCCTGCTGTGTGGTGCAGACTGGCCTTGAACTCCCAGTGAGCCTCCTGCTTCAGCCTCCCAGTGCTGGGATTACAAGTGCCCATGACCACACCCACCAAAAATGCCTATTTTTCAAATGTGCTTCCTCTTTAAACTGACACTCTTCCCACCCTCACTGGCCACACTGTAGAGACACTGCGTGTTGCCCACTTCCTTCCTCGGAGTCTGCTCTGATTCCAAAGTCCCCCAGGCACCCCACCGGGCCATCAGGACACACAATGGTTCTCCTCCTGCTCCAGCTCACCTGGCCTCTTGGAATCATCCTCTCTTCCTGCCTTCCCTGGCATAAGAGATGCCCCCTTCTGTTTGCTCTCTGGCCAGTCAGTCCATCCACACATCTAACCCTGCAATCTCTGCCCTCTCCCCTCCCTACCCCTCCCCTTCTCTGAGGAACTCAGCCACAGCCAGGTCGGCACTGAACTCTGTTTTCATAATCAGCATTTGTCACACTGTGTTTTGGTCCTCAATAGACAATGATCTAATGAAAGAGTGTTCAAAAAAGATGACAAATGTTTAAAATTTTTTACATTTATTAAAGTAAAGAAATGTCACTATAGGGGCTGGGGATTTAGCTCAGCGGCATATGCACCTGCCTTGCAAGCAGGCAGTTTTGAGTTCGATCCCTGGTACCGATAAAAAGGAAAAAGACAAAAAAAAAAAAAAAAAAAAAAAAAGACATGTGCTGTCTGTTTATTAAAAAATGTCACTATAAATGGTCACTATGTCACTACAAGTCCCCTTCAAAGGACTCCCTGTCAGCGCACGCAGCCCACCTTCTTGCCGCTGTCGGCAGCCGCCCTGCAGTCTCCTTTGCCGAGTGTCCTCAGCCGCGCTGTCCCGGCTGCCTCACTGTACCAAACCGGCTCAAAAGGTCTCCCCTTCCGGTCATTTTGACTTTGGGGAAGAACCAGAAGCCATGCGGAGCCAGATCTGACGAATACGGTGGATGAGGACACAGTGTCATGTTTTTAGGAGCTGCCTTTCTGTTGCATGGCACTCGGTGGTGACACTCGCCATATTTCTGTCAGGCCTCATAAAGAAAGGCACTGATAAAAGAGGACTCTCAGGGCAACCTCAGAAAATGACAATGACAGGATGCATTCGTGAGAAGTGACGGGGGTTTTGAAGAGTTTAATGGCAATGTCTTCTAGTATCATAATTTTTTAATATTTAAATATTCACCATATGTTTTAATAAACCTGTTGTATGGAAATATTTTATTTGCTATTACATGCTAGTTTCTTACCTGTAGAAAAAGTAAATAAATACGAAGGAAAAAAATCGCAGGTCTTCCGAAAAAACTGCTATCTTAGTACAGAGTAAAACAATAATTATAATATTTCTGGCTTCCGAAAGTAAGTATAATTTTCCCACAGCACTCTTCCAGGGTCGGTGTAATAGGGTGGTTGCCCTGTGTAAGACCTCCACCCCCCAGAGCTACTGTGCTATTTTGGTCATTTCTTCTAGTTTGAAATTAATTTCTTAGATAAAGTAATTAAAAAGTTTAATCTTCATAATAAAATAGTCAAGTCATCTTAATTTCTTAGCTCACTCTTTCATGGAACACTACAGTCAATACTTACAACATCTAACACTACAGTCAATACTTAAAAGTCTACAGTTTTTACTTTAAAAGATAGAAGATTTGAATATATCTTTCTTTGGCAAGGAAAAGTAATGCAGTAATATTCTCTAATTTTTTCCAGTTAAATTTACTGCATGTTTGTCCTTTTTGTGTTTGTTGTTTTATTTTTTGCGACAGGGTCTTGCTATGCAGTTCTGACTGGCCTCAAACTGTGCCAATTCTGCCTCAGCCTCCCGAGTGCTGGGATTACGGGGATTACACCCAGCCTGCATGTATTGTTTAAAGGGTCATGAGTTTAATAAGCTACTTTTCTGTAATAGAACATCTAATGAGATATAGCCAGAGGACATTTAAATTTAAAGAACTCAAGATTTAAAGAAGTAGTCGCTAAACTGTGTCTCACACTCCAGAGTAATTAATTCTGGAGCCAAATCATGGCACATTCTATTAGAAATTTCCATGCCTCCAAAGATAGGAAGCCATGAAGCCAGTCTCTCTTTGAGGAAAGAATTCACATGGCAACTGTCATCCAAACACCAAAAACCCAGGACGCTGCTTCATCGCAAAGGTCTAACGTGAGGGGAGCAAGGCACTGCAGCTCGTGGCAGAGCGGGAAGCTTCTTGCAGGGAAAGAGACGCAAACCCGGAAGAGGGCAGCCCCCTGGGGAAGGTCCTTCTAGGCTGCTGCAGTTTGGATGCTCAGTGTCCGAGCCCCCATGTGCCGAAGGCTGCGTCCACAGGATGGCCCATCCACAGCACGGAGAAGGGGCAGTGATCAGAAGGTGGACCCAGCCGGTCCTGAGACCATGGGGTGCATGCCCCAAGGGACTCTGGGACATTCTCATCCTCTAGCCCTTCCCCCACCCCATTCAAGATGTGAGCCTTTCACTCCAGTATGTGCGTCCCCCAAAACTGCCCTCCATACCGGGCAGCGACACAGTGAGGAACGGCCCTTCCCACGCCTCCTCTCTGCTGTCTGGACTTCACAAGTCTAAACTTGTGAGCTGAAACAAATCTTTTCTCTTTATAAAGTTAGCTGCCTTGGGAATCTTGTCACAGTAATGACAAACTGCATAATATACAGGCAGAGGGAACAAATGAGTGGCCTCCCAAGTCTCAAGTGACTCTGTGCTCAATGCAGGGGGCAGTGGATGAGGTCAGAGAGGTTCCGTGCAGAAGTCTCCAGAACACAGAACAGGGCTTGAGGAAAGCTCACCTACAGCAGCGTCCAGAGCCGAAGCACAGGGAGAAGCCAGACCCACGGGTGCTGCATGTTTGCTGACAGACTCACCACAGCAAGCAGGCGTGGACGCCATCTGCAGCTGCTCCTTTGTGCCTGAGGTCACTTATAAAATGTATATCTCATTCCCAGAGAACACGAAATCCATTCAAATCTCCTCTGAATCCATCTTTGTGATAGAAAAGTCGGACTCTATTTTTAATGTTGGTTTGCTGACAGCTTCCAGCCCCCAGTGCTGCGACTTTTGCCCCTCATCTGTGCAAACCAGTGAGAAAGCTGAATGCTTCTTCCCCGCCCCAGCTGCAAGATCAAACCGCTGGCCCTGGGAAGAGCCCTCGCCAGCCTAACTCCCAGCCACGGGAAGACAACTCGCTGGTGCACCACTGTGGGTCCCGCCCTGTTCTCCCCAAAGGCCTCGTCACCGGAGAAACAACTCTTCACACCACTGATGCTGTCTGGCTCCATGAGTCTTGACGTCCTGACCCAGGTAGGGTAGGAGGCTTGATCCCAGCGCCAGGCACCGATACCCACGTGATGAGGGGAAGGATGCAGGGCAAGAAGCCTCAGGTGGAGGCTGAGAAGTCCAAGGCCAGGTGTGGTGTCTGTAAGGCCTCCCTGCTGCCTTGTAACCCGACAGAGGGCTCTACACAGTAGGAAAGGGCCTGCACACAAGCCCTGGTCTCTTCCCTTTCCTGTCACAGCACTGAAGCCACCCCGTGACCTCATCCAGTCCCCTTCTCCCCCCAAAATCCTCGCTCTAGATACCATCAACACCCAACAGTGAGGGCAAAGTTTCCAGTGTGAGTATTGGGAGGCCCCAGTCAAACCACACGAATGACTGTCCATAGTCACACAAGTGTCTGGCTGTCAGCTTGAAAGCAATCAGCATGCATGAGGCCAAGGCCTGGCTGCCGCCTCTCCTGCTCCCTCCCCGCAAACCCCACAGTCATGGGAGATACAATCTTCAGTCTCAGCCACGTCTAACTAGAAGAAATCTCGCTCCTGGCGAGACAGAAACACAAGTAAACGCTGCCTTCTCCCAAGATTCTAGTGAAAGTGCCAGCACAAGAGGAAGGTTAAACTGAAAAGTCACACCTGAGAAGAGTCTTCCAACAGCCTCGCCAGCCAGGCCACACCTTCACACGTGCTAGCGCGGGAAGGATTGCCAGCTCCTCTCGGCCAGCACTGCAGGTCTCAGGAGGTCACAGAAAGAGAGCAGACAACATGGTCAGAGCAGGTACTCACGTGTCTTTGGCTGCTCCTGCAGGGCCTGGGGAGAAAAACAGAGACAGGTTTGCATCAGCGTGAAAGCACTGTCACAAGCACATGAAGCCCGACACCTAACTGAGAATATCCTCAAAGAGACAAGGTTTTGGGACATGATTTCGGAACAGGACGGGGAGGGCAAGGAAATTAGGAAATGCAGTTCGTGGGTTTCAAGTTCTGCCGTTTTGACCAATGCCTCTGCATGGTGCTGGCTCCAAAGAAGTGGCCGAGCTCACTGACTCCCATCGCCCGTTTCCTGGGCGAGGCAGCTGGAGGTTTGAGCATTTTCATGCTTCCTACACTGATGCCGCATCACATTATTCTAAGTCAGCATCCTGCGCTGGTCACAAAGCGCCTGCAAAATCACAGGACGAAGTGGAAGTGTCCAGAAGTCTCGGGGACAGCAGGCTCGCTCCGAAAGGAGTCCCGGGCAGCGCTAACTCGGCTGTCCAGGGCTGTCCTCGGCTGTCCAGGGCTGTCCTCGGCTGTCCAGGGCTGTCCTCGGCTGCTGTTCGCAGCTGCACCTTTCCCCCCAGGTGTGCATCAAGAGGACAGAGACTGACATGACGCTTACTGTAACCTCTTAAAACCCACTTTCTTCCGGGGCCAATGAAAGTAAGAAGAGCACTTTCCCGAAGACTCCTGTGGCGATGCAGGCGGACTGTGGTAAACACACGCACAAGTCAGTGTCAGCAGGCGCCTCTAAGAGCTCAGTTTCCTTTCGAGGAAACAGAAATTCAAGGAAGTTCTGCAAGCCACAGACATCTGAAAGCAAAGGAAGATGTGCTACCAGGTAAAGGAAAATGCAGGGAAAGTAACTCTCCAAATTGCAAGCCGCGCACCCTCGATGTTATCTTAGGGTGCCTAACGCTGCAAACCAAAAGCTCATCGTGCAGAGTATCAAAACTATGGCGCAAATACATTGTTTTAGGGTTGTGATTAAACCTGAACGTTGTAATAAAGTTAGTAAAAAGTTTCTTCAAGAAAGAGAACTATTTCTGTGATGCTATAATTAAAGTCAAAGGGGGAGGGAACAAACACTGGAATCTAAGAGCATTTAAACCAAAATGCTAAAATTTAAAAACAAAAGTGCAGCGATGCCCACCTGCTGCCCCCGCTCCGGGGCGGGTGGGGGTGCATCACAAGGTCCAGGTGATAGCGGGCAACTTAGCTCCCATCTCAAAATAAAAATTAAGAAGCAGAAAGGGGCTGGAGCTATCACTTTGGGAGTGCACTGGGGTTTGCTCCTTGTACTGAAGAAGAAGGGAAGGAGGGGAGGAGGGAGGGGAGGAGGCAAAAAGGGAAAAGAAACATTGCCAGTGTAGCACAGCGCCACCAAACACCTGTGAGCATCAGCATTTTACTTCAGTCAAAACACGCGGAGAATCTGAAAGGAAGCCTGTAAGAAAATAATATCCTTTTCTGGTTTTTATTTTCACGGAAAAGATAGGGAACGGCTTTAAGGTTGGCAGGCTTAGAGCTCAAGAGAAACCGAGTCCTAAGTCTTAGCAAAAGAAAGCAGAAATATCCTGAGTTCCTGAGCCAGGGGCACCCAGCTCAGCCTGAGAGGAGGGTGGACGGTCAGGTCCGAGGGCGCAGCAGACCACAGCCGGCCCTCCTCCAAAGTCCACCCAGCAGTCAGCAGAGCTTTGTGCTCCTGAGCCTCCCGGGTGGGGACACACTGCGCCCACGGTGACAGCCAGGGAGGCAGAGACAACGACATGCACCATCAGCTGACTTTAATAACTGCCAGCGCTCACCTTGCTGAACGGCCTTTCCTGCTGGGATCCCCATTTAATGACCCAGAGAGGCTGGTGTCACTTTAGCCCCGCAGCCAGCTGTCCTTTCTCTCCTGAAAGGGCCCTGGCTTGAAAAGGCAGCATCCACCTAGTGACTGCAGCCCTGGGGACTCAGAAACGCTGCCTAGAGCACATTTGTGTGATTGGAAAATGTACTCCATCTCCAAAAAGGGAAGAAAATGTGGTTTCTAGAAGCAGGGTGACATGGCGGTTAATATAACCAGGGGACAATAGGACAGCATGGAAGTTCACACAGGAAAAAAAGTTAGAAACCTTGGCAAAACTCCGAGATCTGAAACAAAAATCACTGCCCTTGCTACAATGTTTCTGTCACCTTCTTTAATTATGTAATTGATCAGATCAAGATTTCTGAGATAATTTATGCAAAAATACTTTGACCAGAATTATTTGGGTAACCACACAATCCCATTTAAGTTGTGTTTGCAAGTCACGTGAGGCAGCATTTATTAAGCAGCACTTACAGTGGTCCACTTCTCTCTGGGCCCCGGGGAGAGAGAGCCCATTCATCCCTGTTAATGTCACTTCATTTCCTGACAGGCTGGCTCTCAAACATAGCCTTGGTGGCTTAATATAACGGGCCTTAGGAGAAAGAGATGGACGGTACCAACAAGAAAAGCACTAAAAAGCACAGGGAACATTTCTGGGTGTCAAGACTTTATTGGTAGTTTCCAAAGCTCTGTGGATAATAGTCACCATTTTAAGTATCTTCCTAAAAAATGGAGAGGGGAAGGCTGGCTCTCAGAAAAGTACCACACGCAGTTTAAGTAACAAAGTCACCGGGAGGGAGGAGGACAGCTGGGGACTTTTCCCGTGGAAGGCGACATGTTTAACACCTCTTAAACACTGCCAGGTGTTGAGGGCATCACTAAATCTTTCCAGGACAGTGCTTACCTTTTACTTTACACCCTCAGCAAGATTTTATTATTTTATTCATGAGTCTCAATGTCAACAGCTCAGTTACTTTAAAAAATGCAAGCAATCCAATGTATCTGAACATTCAAAACCCGTAAGCTGACACCAGGATAGCACTGAAGGAGAGCCGGCCTTTTTCTCTGATTGCTGGCGTGGAGCCCCTACATCCCTTGGAGTTTCCCAGGTGACACGGATAACAGGAGCCTTCTTCCCTCCAGTGCACTGCCCTGGGTGGCCGGGGCTGCTCACCAAAACCCCAAGCTGTGACCGGGCAGCTTGGGGCTCACAGCCCCGCACCCAGGGCTGGAGGTGGAGCTCGGCAGGCTTAGAAACCTCAGAGGCCTGCGCCCAGGGAGCTGTGGGTTTCCGAGGACAGAGGCACCCGGGCCTCTCTGACGCCCACTTTGGACCCCGATGCCACAGTGTAAGGTGGGTGCGGTGTCTCCCCTGGGGTGGGGCCAGGGCTGGGGCCTCGGGCCACGTCAGAGGAAACACCACCGAGACATGTGACCTGTGTCTTCCATAACAACATGGTGGCCTCACGGTGGCTGCTTCCTGAATGACAGAGCTGCTGAGCTGAGCTGCATTTCTCCTGGCAGGCAGTTTTCAGAACCCTCTCCTTCCACGCTGACTTACCTACTCCTCAACAACTGCAGAAAAGAAGCCTCTGTGTCCACTTCCCAGGGCGAGGCGTGACAGCTGTCACAGTCCCAGAGGATGGAAGCCTGAGCCTGGCCCAGGGGTCCACATGGATGGAAGGGGGTCCTTCTGCTCCCGCCTCTCACAAGCATGCCGAGGTGCTCACCTGGGTCACCCAGTGCACTCTCCTCTCTGAAATCCTTCACTGCGTGTGTGCAGAGCCCCTGTCCAACTGCGCATCTTGGGACCAGGAATATGGACACTCCTTCCCTGGGTTCACCAAGCAGGCCCAGAAACCTCTCATGCTAGCCTCCCCCTCCTCCAAAACCAACCAATTCTGTGGGCTGGGCACGTGGCCCTAGGGTACAGCGCTTGCCTAGTACGTGCAAGGACCCCATCTGCAATCCTCAGCATCACTGAAAATAGCACAAAAGTAAACAAAAGAAATATATGGCAAATTGATTTTAGGGGGGGGCCTGTAATTGACTCCACATGTCATACACTCCATAAACACAAAGAAATGTCATTCCTGGGGAATGCGGGAACAAGCCAGCTGTAGGGCACTATCGGTCGGGTATTTTAAGTAGAAGCATCCATCGCTGTGGTCCCATGGTGGCAAACCTACGGCCCTCTCTGCCAGCACGCAAGCCGAGTCGCCCAGCACTGTATTCGGATTTACCCGCAGTGATGGCACTGTGATAAATAAGTGGGTTTGGGTCGCAGCATGGCCTCCAGGGACCCCTCTGAGAGCTCATCTGTGTGCGCTGTGGAGGCAGGTGTGGCCCTGGGATCCCAGGATGTCTCTGAACGGCCCGGAGCACCCCCAAAGTGGGTCAGCTCTGAACAGGTGCCACTGTGAGGGGCTCCTCCCACGTCCAAACTCTAGCACGAAGAAAACACGACTTTTTCTCACCACAGGGCCACTTTTCCCATCCCCTCATCTCCTTTAAAAGAGGCTGCACACATTTTTACATTTGAAAAATAGCCTATTACTGGCTTTTTGATCACTGTATGATATGGGCATTACAGCATTTACAAAATACACTGAAAATGCTCATTGCTAAACGAGTTGCTAAATTATACAGTAAGTCGCAGTTCATGCTCCCGTGGGAGTGGTGATTCACACACGTGTGCGCACACACTGCAAGTAAAATGATTTATGTGGCAAATTTATAAAAATTCCTACAGATTTACAAACCACCGATCAGAAACACAGTGACTTATGAGAAGTAATAAAAGCATGCAGGAATGATTCATTCTTTGTTCTAGAAAACAGAAAGTTCCACAGAGAACTGTATCAATATAACTACAGGAAAAGAAACAGAATTCGCTTCCACGCTGACATCTGCCGTGGGCTCCTCTGACCCGTAACAATTCTACAACGAGGTCACCCTCAGCTCAGCCAAAAGCAGTGAAACAACGCCTTACTTCACACAGCAATGCTTATTTTTAAGAAGCTAAAAAGAAAAAGAGAGCGAGAGATCCACAGGCCACTGGCAGGGATACGTCCTAGAAATATGAAGCATGTCAGGGTGTGCAGAAGAGTCCAGGAGAGCTCCTGCCCAGGGGCACTTCCGGGAAATGCAAGCTAGGGGCAGATTCCTATGTGCCAGAGGGAACAGGCTGGCATCTCGCAGCTCAACCGCAGCTTCAGCCAGGGCCACACCAAATGGCAAGTGGCTCCTGGCAGAACTGGGTAACTCCCCGGGGTCAGCTCCATGAGCTATTCCCCTGGAGGCAGAGGTGACCCTGGGCACCCGGAGCACGTGAGTCATGAGGAGACCCTGCCGATCCCGCCTCACAGCTGTGACAACTGTGCGAGCGGAGGTCCCATCTCTTCATCAGGAGGACAGCGTCCCGTGCTGCTGCCCGCCTGGGGTGCAGTTCCCAGGCGGGAACCCCCTGGCTTCCTCCTCCAGCCTTATAGCAGCCCCCCTGGGCCCGCTTGCCTCGGGACCCCCCGGGAGGCTGCATCCCAACTCGGGCCGGAGCCACGGTCTGGGCCTGGGCCTCCGAGACTGCAGTCAACCGCCGTAAATCCTAGCACACATCCACAATGCTCCTGCTCCCGCTCCTGCTCCTGCTCCTGCTCCTCCTCCACCAGTTACACATGCCTTTCCCGATAGCTCGCAGGGCACACGCAGTGAGGTTTCCCTAGCACAAACAGTGCACTGAGCACTTGGAGCACACGAGGCAGTGTTCCAAGCCTTGTGCACACACTGACCAATGTCGTCCTAAGTCACAGGTTCTGTTATCACTCAGCTTTACAGTTGAGGCACAGACAGCCTAAGCACACTGCCTAACATCGCACAGCAGATAAACAGCAAAAGACTCAGGGGTGGGTTCATTCCCCCACCCGGCTCCTCTCTTCGCTCGCTGCTTCCTGGCCACCATGACATGAGCAGCTGTCCTCCGCCAGACCCTCTGGGCAAAAGTGGGATCCACAGTAAACCTGTCTTTTAAGTGGTGGCATCAGGGACCAAGTCCCTCAGTGAAGAAATACGTGCATTCATTCAGCAGGTGTTTTGAAATTTAAAAAAAAAAAAAAAAAAAGTCCCACTAAAGGTTCGGAGGGCAATCTACAAGCAGAGGATAGAGCTGTGCACAAACTGGGCTCTCAGGGTTCCAGCTGGGAGTGGGGACCCATGAAACAAGCAATAAAGCGTTATCTCTCTGGCAAAAGGTGTCCCAGCCTGGGAAAACCAGAGAGCTGAGCGTGATTAGAGACCGGGAGGCAGCTGGCTCCCTGCCCTCGTAGGTGAGGGCAGGGAGCACTGCATGATGGACCGGACTTCTCAGATGCCGTTGACAAGGTCGTTATCGTGTCCCCGCAAGGTGGGTACCCACACCGAGCACCCAGCATCATCTCAGCATTTCCAAACCACCAGCAGAGTCAACTGAGGCCGGGCCAGGGCATCAGCATCCCAAGAGAACGCAGGCCATCTAGCTAATTGAGGACAAGGAAATAACTCATCGAAATAACTGGACCCAGAAGGATTACAGCGTCCCTAGGTACGCTGATAAAATACGACGAATAACTGTCAAGTTCCTCCTCTGACTATTGTTATATAAAGAGCAGAAGAACCACTTCTGGTTAGAAACATTCTGACAACTGTCCAAAAATCATGGCTGGACAGTTGCCAGTTACAAAGCTCTGGCAAAAACTACACCTCACTGATTATCAAGAGCCAAGCACTTCTAAAATAACTCTCCCGCTGGAAAATAATTAGTCTGCCTGGAAACAGGCTCTTACAGAGAGGGGGACCGTCGGAACTTTTAAGGGATTTTCTGGTTTACAGTTCTCAGTCACAGTGTGTATCTATCAAGACGCTACTTCTTTAGGTAAAAATGCAGTTATCCATCTCTGAGCCTTATTATGGGATAATTCCAGGAAAAACAGGAGAATAAGGACTCGGTGCGGGTGGGCACACCACACTGTACCACAACGCTCCACTTTATAATTAATAGGAGACTGAGAGAGAATATTCTAATCCTGATGGCTCCCCAGAGGTTAGGGTCACGGCCTAGACTTATGCAGGAAAAATGTCCCAAATCCGCACAAAATGGCAAGCTCTCCTACTATAGTTCCAGGCTGGGAAAAATCGAACTCGTACCTTAAGACAATGATCCTGTCAAGACAGGAAAAAGACCAATGCTGAGTAAAGGCTTCTCACCACCCCATCTGGGCAAACAGCTCCACTCCTCCTCCAGGAAGGCTTCCCTGATTCAATTCCATGCCATCCTATGATCATCCACAGCTGGCTGCCTCACCTTTCTGCTGAAAGTTTCTACGGAAAGCCCTGTGTACAGGGGTGGACATGTCGGGGCCCCAGGTAGAAAGACACTGCGCTAAATCTGCCCAAACTATTACAGGGCAGATCTGGCTCCCTCTCCTTAGAGCTACTGCACCGTGTTACTACGCTGCTGTGGTGTCCCAATCCGATTGGCCGGGTACCTTACTGCATGTCTGTCACCCTAGTAACCAAGCTCACTGTCCTGAGGCCCAGCGTGGCCACTGTCTAGGCATCTGCGGACAGGGTCAACAATTGTCTGGGTTTACCTGACTTACTAAAGGAGCCAAAATGAAGCTCAGGGTCTTGGTTCCAGGCTCGGAAACACGATCACAATGTGCTAGGTGGCAAAGCAGATTTGTCATTTTCTTGCAGAAAAATATCCAAGGGAAGCTATTTCCCCCAACAGGCTACCAACTTTTAGTCTGACATGGAATTACACTATCTGAGCGCTTGCCAGCACCATTTGATTCTGAGTTTCACACCGTGCCCAATAGAACCGGGTACTCCCGTACAGACAAAAGAACCTAAGCTCGGAAAAGCAAAAGGAAATCGGTGCCTACAGTAACACCAGCAGCACAGCGTCAAGGCAAAGTACAAGACCCCGCCAGGGCTCTTCCCACTGCCGGTCTCTGCACTTGTTTATTTCAAAAGGCAGCAACCAAAGCGCAGGACTCCGGGATGCTTCAGAAGTTGTGCTCTGCAAGCTCCTGGAGGACAGGGACATCTGGGTGCCCCTTTTCCCATCGCGGCTTGAGTTCCTGCATGTCTGCAGCTCGGTCCCGGAGCACGCGCTCACAGCCATGCGCTGCGGGGTCCCTGCATCACCCTTCAGTCTCCTCTTGCTCTGTTTCCCTTCTGAAAAGCAATCCCTACCATCAGCGGACAGAAAATAGCAGAGGCCAGACGCCAAGCAGAAGCAGGAGCAGGGAGCTGATCGCAGCCTCGGTGACCAGGCAGGTTTGACAGTCTGAGGTCAATACCTTGCTCTTTTGTGAACAGAAAGTCACTCTCGCCAAAAAGCAGCTGACAGAGAGAATCCAGGCTGTCACCTGCACTGTCCCTCCTAAGCGAAAGCAAACAGAAGCCACACAACGCATATGAAGAGGAACTTCAAGCATTTTTCAACGTAACTATACCTCTCCATGGCACAACAGATGTGCTCCTAAAAAAATCAATCAAGTACTCATAAAGAGAAGCATTTTCCCAAGAAATACGATTCTTACACTAACATCATAGAGGTAGTTTATGATAGCACCCTGATTCTCATCTACATGAAACTGCTCCACACCCCTAATCTCCACAGCAGTTCATTCACAAAAATGTAAATGCCCTGAGGTACCAGCTTCACTTTTAAAGAAATCTGTCACACATCTTTCCTAATTGTGGGTAATTTTTCTCAGGTGTTTTTTTTTAAACGGTGGGGGGGGGGGGGCTTCACAGCGCTGGCTTGATTGGGACCACACCACCCAGTACACGGAGAGACAATGCTCCACTCCCGTGTTCCCTTGGCATGGGCCCAGGTCTCCACTACAGCTCTCCGGCCACTCTCAAATCCGAATCCTGCCCTTGCACTCATCAGCACAGGGACTAACCACCCTGCCCCCTGCCCCCCAGCTGTCACGGGAATCTAATGACCTGCTCCTCGGTGCCTCTTCCGGTCACAGGAGCACACTTCAATCCAGGCGGAGAAGGTTACTATAACAGATAAACCTGGGTCCATCACACCTCTGGGATTGGAAAACCATCTGTCTCAGTCTCTTCTCCGCAAACCGAACGTCCCACAGGTATGACCACAGACAGCCAAAAGGACAAACTTGGCCAGTGAATGAAGCAGATTTCCACACCACTCCCACTGGCGTGAGTGTCCACATAAACTAAACTAAGCCAGGTTCGGTCCTCAGCCAGGTTCGGTCTGGGTGAGGGGAAGCAACAGGCCCAAGGTCACAAAGTAACAGGCAAGGCGTGCACGCCCTCCTGAGACACTGCAGTACCAGGAGCTTCTGGCTTTGGGGCTGGGGTGAGATGTGGCACCGGACTGCTCTCAACTGGAGGTGCCAGGGGCGCTTACCGGAAAAGACTGGGTCACAGGTCACAGGGACAACTCACGACGGATGGGAAGACCTCCCACCCGGCGAGGAGCGCTGGGTCGCACGCAAGGTCTCAGTCTTACGCCCCCTGACACACGCGCCTGCCCGCCTAGGAGCCCGGACTCGCCTCCCTCTCCACACAGGGGAGCGGCAAAGACGAAGTTTGGTCCAAAGGAAACCCGGAGCAGCAGAGCTACTGACAATGAAGCCCCGCACCGTGTCTGCGCATCCACGCTGCGCTCCACGGACAAGGCCGGGTGCGTCCGGGGCGCTATCCTCACCCCAGCACGGAAAAGTCCGGGTCCGCGGCCGGGGGAGGGCGCAGCACCCCACGGGCACCGCGGGCTCACTGGCCAGGCGCGGCCGCCCCCGCGCGGATCGGGACGCGCGACGCCCCCGCCCGGCCCTGCGCCCGCTCACCTCGGCCCGCGCCCGCGCCCGCCGCCGTGGAGTTCCCGCAGCCCATCGCCCCGCCGCTGCCCACCGCGCTCCGAGCTCGCGCCGCGGTCCCGGGGCGGAGCCGAGCCGGGTGGGGCGGGCGGTGCCAAACAGGGGCCCGGCGGGGGGCGCGCGGGGCTGGATGGGGACGCGGAGCCGCCCCCTGCGCCCCCTGCAGCCGCTGCGGAGCGCTGAACCCGCGAGGTGGACGCCCTCGCCCGCGCCCCTCCCCCGGATTCTCCCCCCCGCCGGACCCGCCCGTCGCCTTGGCAACCGCGGCGCCGACCAATCAGCAGCCGCCTGCGCGCTCCGCGGCCACACATTGGTGGCGAGTAAGGGGGCGGGAGTTTAAAGTGGGCTGGGGGGGGTCCGGGGCGGGGCCGGTCGCCCACCTGCGGGGCGATGGAGACCCCGCCTCCAGCCAGGAGGGGACGCCCGAAAGGCCTGTGTCACCTCCTTCACCTAGAGAAACCTAGAGCAGCTTCCCCCATTCCGCCGTGGGGGGATGGGAGGGGCCTAAATTCTTCCCCAGGTCGGTCCCACTCGGGCAGATTTAAAATACATACCGCGAAGTCTGTTGCCTGGCTAGGCGCTGAAGTCAGGCTGGCTTCCAGCCTGCGCCCTGCCCCAAGACCTGTAAGAGCAATAACTGAGGTACGTGCAAACCTCACCCAGGCCAGCTCTGATGACTGTCATTCTTAAATGGACTCGGGGTGAAAGCGAATTCCTCGGGGTGAGGACTCTGCTGTTTTAGTGATCTCCTGTCTCACAACAGGGACTCAATAAGGTGAATTCAAGAACGGAATTAAGCTCCATTTTAAACCCAATAGTATTTATAGAGAACCCAGAATGTGCCAAGTCCTTTGTTAAGTTCCGGGACAGGAACATGTGGGAGACAGTCCCGTCTGGCAGCCGATTATAAACAAATTAGCTGCTATATTGCAAGGGTGCCAGCAGAGGAATACAGGGTACAAGGGAACCCCAGAGAGCCTGGCTCCTAGACGTTCCCAAATCCAAACAGTTGTGTTGAGAGAAAAACGTATCTGGAGCCAGGGCCCTGGCTGACCTTTGAACATGACCTTCAAGATGCCGGTGTGGACTTGGTAATTTTATCATCCAGGATACAGGAAGCACACCATCCTCCACGCCAGCTTAGCTCTATGCGGTCATGTCCTGAGGGGATATCAACTCCTGGACAAATAAAAGCGTTCTTCTCTCTACCTTGGCCTTTACTCTCTTAGTCCCGTGCTCATGCGGATTCGAATCCAGCGCTGAGTGGCGGGGGCGCCGTTAAACAGCCGTAAGAAACGTTCTCTCATGTTTCCAGGCTATCCGACACTGCTCACCAGGGTAAGGACGCTTGAAGAAAGAGAAACACAGATCCGGACATCCAGAGGCTGGCCTGACCCACCAGGCCTGACCCCTGCTGTTTCCTGTTCCACGTGGCGCAGGCAGCACCGACCTCCCTGAGGTCACTCTCCAGTGAGACAACAACAAAGCTGCTCAGTGGTCGGTCTAAGTTGTGACAAAAGATAAGGTCTCTGCGTCTCTGCGTGAACCGAAAAGGACCGAATATCCCCACCCCACAAAAACAAACCATGCTGCTTTACTAAATACTGTTCATTGGTTGGCTGGCTGGTTGGCTGGTTGGTTTTAATCCATTTTAGTCTTCCTGCCTTATAAATGACTTTTTTTTTTCTTGGTAACGGGGATTGAACTCATGACCTCCTGCTTGCCAGGCAGGTGCTAATGCCACTGAGCTAAATCCCCTCCCATACATAAGATTTATTAAGAATACCGATGATATTGTTCCTACTTCCTCATAATATCCAAACCAGAATAAAAGTCCTGCTTCCTTACTCCCAATAAAAATCACCTAATAAGAACCAGAACCCTAGGATTTCTTTCTTGAGGAACTCTTACTGTGATACCCACGGATGGAATTCTTTTTCCGATGACCCCATCCAGCCCGACTCAGGGGTGACCCTGGTGGTCTTTGGCTGGAGGTCACAGAGCCCCATCAGTGTCCATAGTTGGGTAAAGCCACCAAGTGTGCAACCCATCCACTCTCTCACCCACTGTTGTCACCCTCTCTATGCCAGCCACTCCGCCGCTTGCTAGATTGCAAACAGAAAAACCCCACTGGGAGGGGACCGATCAAAATCAAATAAAATGAGATAATTTCAGCTACAATAAGGTGATGGAGAAAACAATCTACTGCAAGCAGAAGCCCAGGATTGAGAGAGAAGTGCCACACTGTTTATGGGAGGATGGCCAAGGGAGGGTGTTTCCCTGAGGGCTGATAGATGAGAAGAAATCAGACACGTGACAGTCCAAGGAAAGAGACTGCAGGCAACAGAACAGCAAATGCAAGGGCCCTGCAGCAGGAGCATGCTGGGAATGTTTCCAGAGCAGGCCAGAGCAGAGCTGGGGGGTAGGTCAGATCACTGCAGCAGTGCCCAGCCTCAGTCAGGGGTGAAGATGTGCAGAAGGGCAGCCCGAGGCTTCTGAGGAGGAGGGCATGGAATTCCTAACAAAGCAAGGATGCAACAGACCTTAGTCCTCTTGGAAAGGGTGAGTAAAGAGCAAATCTGGGATGTCTCCTTGTTTCCCTTTTTAGGGATTGATTTTACACACAAAACTTCACGGTCCTTGCGTGTTTCTGAAAAGAATCCATCAAATGAAAATCACCACTGCACGCCCCACTTCCTGCCAGGCCCATGTCGGCAGCTCCTGGGTGAGATGCACCCCGCACTGCAGTTCTGTCCTCAGCCACGAGCTGAGCTGGCAGCAGGCAGGGAAGGGGTGCGGGATGCAGTGCAGCTCCTCAGGACAAGGAAGCAGCGGCGGTGCCTGGCTTCCCCCTCTAGCAGAAAGCCTTTCTCCACAGAAAGCCTGCAGCCTTGATTTCATTTGTTTTCTACTTTTCCCCCGTGAGCAGTCTGCAAGATGCCAGCTGTCAGCCACATCTATCCACGCAGAGTTCTGCCAGGGACCAAGGGCTTTCACACACCCGCTGCCCCACAAAGGCCACAAGAGCCTGCACACTTCCCTGTCCTCCTTGGCCAGGACGGTACCATTTCCTGTCATCACGAAGGAAAGGACAGACAGTGTGACATGGTGTCTTCAGAGAGAGAGAGAGAGAGGAAACAGGAGAGATTCTCCACATACTTTTGATTACAGTTATTACAAATCTTTTTATTAGTCCTATTGCATTACTGTTTATTGTTGTTGATCTATTACTATTCCTAATGTACCAGTTACACTTTGCCAGAGGTCTGCTTGCAGAAGGAAAAAACATATAAAAAAGAGCTCATGGCTTCAGGCACCCACTGGGGATCTGGGGATGTCTGCATGGGGATCAAGGAGGACTACTGTGGTGATGTGAGTTTTAATAACGTATGTGCTCCCCAGTGTGTGCATGTGCGTGTGTGTGTGTGTGCGTGTGTGTGTGAGTGTTTGCAGACCTGCCCTGGCTATGTCCCAGCAAGGGTGCACTGCAAGGCTGTCAAGTGAGACTCAATTTTTTTTGTAAGGCTGTGGTTATTGTTCCGTGGATTAAATCTTAAACTCTGGAATTTTGCACTGCATTGAGCTACCGTCCCCAGCCTTTTCCTTTTTCTTTCTTTCTTTCTTTTTAATTTTGAGACAAGGTCTTGCTGAGACGCTAAATTATCCAGGCTGTGCTCACACTTGTGGTCCTCCTAGCTTAGCCTCCCAGAGTGCTGGGATTCCAGGTGGCTACTCTACCTGCACCTGCTGGATGAATGATTCTGAAGGTCTCTTGGGCCTGCATTTCAGTCATACATAGGCACTCCAGAATGTCAGGACTCAGGGCTCAGAGTCCCAAGGTGCAAGGAGACCCCGGTGGGGAGGAGCGGGAGGCTGAACAATCGGCCTAGGGTTTCACAGCAAGAAGCGTGACCAGTGCCCTGCCAAAAACAGCCTGCCGATTCTTCTGCCCGCTGGTCAGCACAGCTGGTCCTCACCGCATGACTTTACATTTTTTAATTGAAGAACAATTTATACAATTTAAACAAACCTTTCTAAGGTGTGCAGTTTGGTGGCATCTAATACACTCTCAGTCTTGTGCAATCAGCCCCAAAACAGGTTTGCTGCCCCAAAAGCAAACCTTGTAAGCAGCCACGCCCAGCAACCGCTAACCTGCTCTCTGTCTCCATGGAGTGCCCGGCTCCGGGTGTTTCCCATAAATGCAGATGTTGCTGCAGTTTAAAGACCGACCGGGCCCCTCTGCAGTGTGCTCACGAGATCAAAGCTGTTTGCTTTGTGCTCCCAAGGACTCGGGGCAGACTCTCGTTACCTGTGCTAGGAAGGCACAGACAAGTGGCCAGACCTGTGACCTAGCGCCAAATGAGCACCATGACGAGCGTTTAATGCACAGGAAAGTAAATAACAACTCATCCCTTTCCCGGGTGAAAACTACTGAGAAGACACCCCATTTCCTGCCAGGACTGGAGACACCGGCTGTGCAGCGCTCAGGATATGACAGTCATCAGTTCACTCGTGCAGGGCAGAAACAAGGAACAGGAAGCAACGGGCCTGAACATTGCTTTGTTTACTTTGCTAGGACTTAGATGTTTTCATCTGCTACAACACTATAAAAATCATACATCTGTTTGGGGTGCCATGAGGTATGTTGATACACGTAGACAATTTAAAGAGGGAAAAACACGTCCGTGTCCTCCAGCATCTGTCATTTCTTGATGGTGAAAACATTCACAATCCCTTCTCCTAGGTTTGGCTTACATTTTTTTACATACAATTTTTGAAGATTAATTTAAACATGGATAAATAACATGGTTACTTTGTGGTTTACAAACAATGTAGGCACTATTGTTGTTCCCTGGCTGACGAGTTTTCAAGTTTTGTTTTAGTTTTCTTCTTCCTCTTCCTCTTCCTCTTCCTCTTCTTCTTCTTCTTCTTCTTCTTCTTCTTCTTCTTCTTCTTCTTCTTCTTCCTTTTCTTGAAATAAAATGGAAAAAAAATACTGACAAACTCTGCCGATGTCGTGTGTCCATTTACAAATTCAGCCTTTGGGGACAGCTCCTAACCAAATGCAGTGTTTTCGTCTGAATTTCATCTTAAAATCTGGTCCTTTAAATGGTAAAATAGTCTCCACTTAAGGAAAACCAGAGGGACAGTTGCAGAGGGTAAGTATGAAGTCTTTATTACCACAGACTGGCATTTTATAAATTTAATTTTTAT